CCAGGGTTGCGGTGGCCGGCTGCGCACTCTCCGGCCCCTGGGAAGGAAAGCTCCGGCACTGCTGGGTGCTGCCACAGTGAGCTGAGGGTAACTTTCAAACAGTGAAACAAAACCAAAAATCACTTTGCAGCTTTGATGAGAAGGTGTTAAATGCGCCACTGCCACGAGGGAGGATTACAGAGGCTGTTTGAGGATCCGGCTCTCCGCTAAGAGGGTGTTTTTAACAGTAAACAAATACAAACACATTGCTTGTTGCAATGTCAAAGGCTATCTGATCGGTCACTGGACCATTTTTCCTTGGTGTTTATTGCTAATCTGCTAATTAGTCAAGAAAAACAGTCTCCTCCTTAGAGGTAAGGGAGCAGCAGCAGGAAACAGCACCAAGCTAAAACAGCTTAACTCTGCCCCGTCCCCTGTTTCACCTGCGCTGGCAGAGCGGAGAGATCCAGGCATTTCCCCGAGCACCTCCTTAGCTCCGGCGACAACGGCCGGGCAGCGCGCAAGGAGACCACCAGAAAGGAAGGGGAGTAGGATGAGGCCCATAAACCTGTCTGGGTGCTCAGCTGTTTCCCAAGAAAAGATGCTCTGTCTATCGACTCAGACAGCGGAGTTTTGGGCCGAGTATTTTTGAGAGTGCAGTTCTAGTGGGTTTGAAAGAAAAACAAAGAATACCAAAAAGCTTCCCAGAAAAATAAAAGCAACCTTGACCTTTCTTGGATATTAAAGGCAAAGGCAGGAAGAAAACCTTCCCCCTGCCTCAGGTGCATTTACAGTCATGAGAGGGAAAAATGTGGAGCAGTAGATCCCCTCTTCCTCAAGGAGAGCTGAAAGAGCAAAGTTTCACCTGGCAGCTGTAGCCCCACTAGTAACGCTTACAGGGTGACCTCCAGTGGGATGAGGAAGACATGACAAATTCCACGTTACACGAAGAAGAAACTTTATTTTAAAACGCATCTCTGTGCATTAAAAATGAGCAGAAAGGGGAAAGAACAGGGTCCTTTGGACCTTACCGTGATCACCACACCAGGACACTCGTGCAGCTACATAATTTCAGGCTGGTTATGACACAAGTCGACTCCTGCCACTTTGGCAGAGAGAGGTGTAACCATCAGCTCCGCCGAAGTGAAAGGAGGCGAGAAAGGGTGCGGCATGCACACAAACGCAGACAGAGTTGTATCACTGCAGTCCTAAATTCCAACTGCCCGACGGGCTCAGCACCAGATGGACTTTCAGGCACAGAAGTGACCAACGCAGGCCTGTGCCCCATACTCCCACTCAGACAGAACTCCAGCGACGCAGGCGGCAGCCAGGGGAATCCGCGTCGGGTCCCACCTCCCCTCCGTACGGCAGCAAGAGCCACCTCCACCAGCCACATGAGCAGGCACCTGGCACGGATGCCTGCTGCCTGGGCTACCACAACGCCCTGAGCAGCTGAAACCCTGCTCAGGCAGCAGCTGCTTGCCAGGGCTCACTGACAAGACGCCAACGGTCCTTGCTCAAGCAGTGATGACTCCCGTCTCCCCTGAACCACACGCTACGGAGCACAGCCTGGCAGCCTTTGACAAGGGAACTTGTCAAAACACAGTTTCAGACAGCTACAATCATGTCCGTTTTGAAACAGTTAACTTCTCCTGCCCTCCCCTAACAACTCCGCAAGCCCCCATGTTCAGCAGCAGCTTTCCAGCTACAGCAGCTGGCTTGTTTCCGTAACTGCCCCAAAGTACACCCAAAATGCATCGTGGTCATCTCAGGACTTGGCACAGGACTCCCCGGGCGCTCCTCCAGCTGAGCGAGGGTGCTTTCCTGTGCTGCCAGCTCCCCTGCCTCCACCCTGCTTCCTCTTCATTTGGCCCTTGGACTCCGCTGGAAGTGTCTCGATCCAGACAGCGTCAAAAGAACCCGGAGCCTGGTATCCCGGCTCCTGAGGATCGAGGGCGTCTTTGCTGAGTAGGACACATATGGTAGGAATGTTTCTCTTCACTGTCAAGGCATCAAGGCCTGCCTCAGGCACAATGGGTTCCCAGATCTCTTCGATCTGTTTGAAGAGCACTTTGGTGATCTGGTGCAGCTCTTTGAGCCTTCGTTTCATGATTTCCACACAGGTAATGGTCTTGCTGACGGCTTTGCCTGAGCCAGTGAAAAGGATCTGCCTCACCGAGTCCAGCTCCATCTTGCCGATGGCATAGCCCATCAGATTTTTGATTTTGCTCCCATCCTTCACTTTCATTTCGATAATATCAGGGGGTAGGTTGGTGAAAGGAAGAGGACAAGGCTTCTCCACAATTTTGGTCTTCTTATAATTCTCCATTCTGCAGTGCTGAAAAGGAAAATGGATCCATTAACACAAACTCTTGCTATAATTGCTGCACAAAGAAACTCTCACCACAATGAGTGACCTTTCCTCCAGATGGCACTCTGAGCCATCGGAGTTGGGGTTCCTGAAAAGGCATATCCGAAAGATCAGCAAGAATGCCCTACTCATGCTGAGGAGTCACTTGTGCCCCAGTCTTCCTCGGCACTTAACTACAGCATGAACACTGACACAAAGCAGCCTGGGCCCAAACTGGCAGGCGGTGAAAGGAACACAGGGCTGGTTACTAAACAGGATGAAGTAAAAAATACAGGCTGTGTCTCTGGGAAAAACAGAGAATAAATGGGTAAGCTGAGGTTACTTGGAACAGAAGCCATGGGGATACTGACCACCGCTGCACGCCACGAGCCACACCGGAATGTGCACATGATGAAGCCAGGCACAGCTCACCTGCAGCAGCTGGGGTATGTTACAGAAACAGGCGCGTGGCTCTGAGCCCCACGATGGGCGAAAGGCCAGAGACTGGATTCTTAATAAAACACTGCAGGTCGCAGGGGAGACAGCAAGTCAGCGGTTGCAGGCAGGAGACACATCACCAGCAAGAAGCAGGACAACAGTAAGGCACAAGATGGACAAAAAAAAGGGCTCTTTGAGGAAAAGCGGAAGACAGAAAGGTGCAGTCTCATAGCTCCCCTCTGCCAAGACAGGGTCCCTCTGCTGGCACCCTGACCAAGGCCCCCCCTAATCTGTGTAGAGCACCCCCTCCCCACCACAAAACGCCCAAGGTGCCAAGACATGCAGCACTAAGGCTCTGTTATCTGGGGGCTTGGAATCCTTGTTTCACCCAGACACAGCACGTTGCACTCCACCTCTACTGAGGCAGGGCAGGTCAATGCCCCCCTCTCTGTACCCGGGAAGCATGTCCCTCCTGGGAAGCCCTCCGCCCCAGCACGACAGCAGGCCGCCATCGGTGCCGCCCTGCTGGAGAAGAGAAGCGCGATGGGGGCCGGCGACACCGTTGCTACGGGGAAAGGGGCTGGGGGGGGGGAGCGGAATGC